TGCGTAGCTGCAAGTTGGACACTGTGACTTGGTCCCCGCTGTCCCATGCATAGCTGCAAGTGGGACACTGGGACTTGGTCCCCGCTGTCCCATGCGTAGCTGCTATCCTAACGACGACACTGGGACTTGGTTCCCGCTGTCCCATGCGTAGCTGCAAGTGGGACACTAGGACTTGGTCCCCGCTGTCCCATGCGTAGCTGCAATCCTAACGACCTCCTTCGATGTGGGGAAGAAGGGTCCCACCTGCGCGCGGTCCTCATTTTTGGCCGTGGTTCTGCGTAATCTACAGTCAAAAGTTTTTCACAGGACCAATCGCTGGTAGCCTCGACCGAGGGCGTGGTCCCACTAGCAAAGAGGTTCGAATAGAATGCCTGAATTTGAACGAGTTTATGGAGATGTGCAGGAAATCGAGATTGAACTGCTTTTCCGCATCTGTGCTTACAACACATCCAGATTCGGGAGCTCGATCCTGTCCTTTTCGCTAGTGGGACCTCGGCCCAGATGGCGGCGGAGGGCCGCGGATGCGATTCCCCCGCGTACAGACATTCTCTGTTTCTGACTGTACATTACATAAATCGAACGTACACATTGAATTTCCCGGTTGCATGTTTTAGGCACAGTTTCTTGGCCAGATTCATATCCAACCTCAATTACGACCATTGACCCCATTGTGACCCAATTACGCCCATAAGTGGATGAGTATGACCGAATTTTACCTCAATCACGTCCGTAAACAGATGTATGTGATGTGACTGTGCTTTTAAATTAATTCAATTATGGCCATAGCAGGATGTATATGACCGCATTTCAGGGCAGAGATCACAGTCAAGGAAACGATTTTCCCCCTTTTTTTCAGCTTTTTTTTTTTTCTGTCTTTCTTTCTTTCTTTCGAAAATGCCTTTTTTTTCACATTGGGATTGAGCAACCAAGCTTACCCATGTTAACCCTCCGCACCCCTGAAAAATTAATTTCATGTGATGTGGCCCCATGGACCTCTGAGCAGAATATCTGCAGATATTTGTACTGTAGTTAGGTTCCTTAGGTAGTATAAATAAGGTATAGTAGGCTACCTGCTACACCCGAATACAACGTGCTGTCAACGTACGGTCATTATCATAGTTGTATGTGGGCCAACCTTCCGTCCAAATACAGCAATAACGACCGTACGTTAAATTCGGGTGAAGGAGGGTAGTACAAGTAGAATTACAGGTAGATTCCACTTGTACTAGCTTCTTCTCCGAGTCTTATGTACGGTCATCACAGGGTATTTTTTTTTTGGGGGGGGTATCTTTCAGTCTAAATACAGCTGTAGCTATAATAATAATGACCCTACTTTGTACTGGGGGGAAGAAGGTAGCCTAGCCTATATTTACTCATGTTTGTGTGAACTCAGGGCCAGATCCTGTGTGGAACTGGTCCAGATTCAGCCACTTATTTCAATCCTCTTTGCCAGTGGGATCTGGCCCTAAGTTAAAACTTTTTACCGTCCCACTGACTGACTCAGTTGTTTTTGTGCTCCTTTCGGCAATTTCCAGACATCCTTGTCGTGTGTCCTAAGGTCTGGCCGCACGGCAAATCGAAACAAGCGCATCTGCCCACGAAAGGAGGCAAAATAAACTCGTTACTATTTATAGCAAACCGACGAACCTGGCCATTTTCTGCAGGAAGATGCACTCGTTTCGTTTTTCGTTTCGTGTCCCGTGCGGCAACGCCCCTACAGCTACAAGAAATGCCATGTGCGGCGACGCCCCTACAGCTACAAGAAATGCCATGTGCGGCGACGCCCCTACAGCTACAAGCAATGCCATGTGGCTTAGGGCTTCGCCACACCAGTCTCGAAATGTGCAAAAGACAAAAAGGTGGCGATTGCATCTGGCCATGTTCTAGCGTGAAGTTCATTCTCATTTTGCACATTTCGAGAAATTCAGTGGTGTGGCTACGCTCTTACGCTGGTATTCATGCGTGTCGTGTGTGAATAGCATCTTGCTTTTCGAAATTCTTGCTTCTACCTCACCCGAATAGAACGCCCGGTCATTATGGCTGCATCTGGACTGAAGGTTGGCCAAATACGGGTATAATGAGCAGGCGTTGTGTTCTATTCGGGTGAAGACGGTGGCCTATTGACTACCTAAAGAACTTGGTACAAGTACAATTAGGTAGATTTTCACCAACTGGCCTAGTAGCTCAGTTGGTACACTCTGAGCTGTCCAAGTACAGATCTGACTCATCTGAGTAGGGTCTTTTTTTTTTTTTTTTTTTTTTTTTTTTTTTTTTTTTTTTTTTTTTTTTTTTTTTTTTTTTTTTTTTTTTTTTTTTTTTTTTGGACTCATCTCAATGCAAATTCCACTGAAAGCAGATGAGTAAACGTACACTGCAATTCCGAATTTTTAAAGAATTAGGGTCTCCTTAGACACTCCTAAAAGTGCCAGTTTTCAGGATTGCGTCTTCGTTGCACACAGTCCTAAAACGAAATCAGAGATCGAAAATGTGAAAACGGCGTTAGGACAAGTCCTAAAAGATTTAGGATTCCCCAGGCAAAATCGTCCTAAATTTTTCAGTAGCCCCCGACCTACTGAAAAATATAGGATTCCCACGTTTCACGCACTCGTCGCGTCGCGTGCATGGCACCGTCCACACGGGGTTGCTGGTCCAGGAGCGGTCTGTCTGTGGTCGGACATCGGAGGTTTTGCACGGGTCGACGGTGGCAACGGCCGGGAACGGTAGCCGTTGGCCGATGGGGTGGAGCGCGGAGGGCCAAGCGTGGGCGGGTGGGCGCCGTAGTGGACCGTTGGGTCGCTTGCGAGATGCGGAGTGGGACGTCGACGTGCGCAGGACGACAGACGGAGTCGCTTCGGGGATCGCGGGCGGCAATGGTCGATTTTTAAAAGGAAGGCGGGCATGTGCTGGTTGTCGGCATATGAAGGTCGAGCGCCCCTATCCCAGGCATGTCGGAACACACATCTGCAGTGGTCACGTGCGAGGGCGGCTGCAGAGGTGAATTTCATGGCTGACGTGCAGAGGAGATTGCCTCTGCTGGTACTTGCTGTCGTCGTCTTCCTGATTGTCGTCTTCCTCCACGTGTGTTTGTCGTGGCGGCCGTGGAAACAACAACGCAAGAGGAGGGCTTCGAAGAGACAGGCGGCAGGGGAACGTCTAATGGCGGGCATGCAGGCATGAGCGGCAACTGATGCAGGTCAGGGAGGAGTTCGAACTTCGGCGGCGGAGCCTCCAAGGCGGTACGACCCGTCCATGTACACCTATCTGGAGTCGTGGGAGACGCCACTGCCCCCGTCGGACGAGGAGCCGGAGAAGGAAGAACTTTCAACATTGCCTCTCGCCAGCGGCTCGACTCGGTTGTGGTCGCAGACGGTGCGAGCAGGCGGGTCGGCTGCCGACGAAGGGGGCGAGTTTACGTCACTGCTGCAACAAGGGTTGCGGGACGACGACGGCGGAGGAGTTGATCTGAGGTTCGGGTTGTGTTCTGGCGGCGGCAAGGAGGCAAGCCGTACGTTCATCATCGATGGAGATCGTTCGGCACGTGGTCTTGAACATGGTGGAAGTCTGCATACAGAGTTGTCCACACTTCGTCGCGCTGCACTCGTGACTGGCGCGGTCGGGCCATCGTCAGCGGGACGGAAGCATGGATCGACTGCTCCGTCCGTCGAGCGATTGACACCGACCTGGCCCGCACGCACTGGGGTCGCAACAGGGTCCCTGAGCATGGGCGGTGCACGTTCGCCGATGCCTGCGTGCACAACGCCGATCGAATCCGAAGTGAGGGACGAGGGAACGTGCATAGCGCCGATACGTCCACGCCCCACTGTGGAGAACATAACACGTGGAGTGTCCAACATGCGGGCGCACAGCGATGGCGGCGAAGACGACGGTGGATTCGGTGACGATGCAGATGAAGGGATGAGGGAGGACGTGGAAGCGGGGGACGACGATGACGATGTTCCTATTCGGCCTTTGGGGAAGACGGGTGGGAGGGGGAAAGGACGCGGCAGAGGTGGTGTCCGTGGTCGATCCGTTGCCCGTGAGCAACGACGCCGGGAAGTCTCCGACGTACTGGTCTGCAGAAGACCAAATGCCCCTGGTGCGATGCAAGCGGGAGCAAGATATGCACCTCGCCGGCTTGACTCACAATTACAGGCGGATAAAGACGAAAGAGTGGAAGTGGGACGACATGTCGAACTTAAAGCGGATGGCGAATGCAGGGAGGCCGAAGGACGCTGACGAGTGCATGAAGAAGTGGGACAATCTGTTCCAGAACTACAAGAAAAATCAGAGGTTTCAGAATGCCAGCGGCCAGGCAAATTTTTTCAGGCTGACGAACGAAGAGGGGAAGGAGCACAACTTCAAGTTCCGGATGGACAGGGCACTGTACAACGAGATCCACATAGGCATGGTGGGGAACCACACGATTTTCCCTCCCAACGTTGCCGACACCGGCAGTCCGGAGGGGGTGCAGCTGCCCAGGCGAGGAGCGGGTGGCGGGGAGTCTGTTTGTAGTGAGGCGGCAGGTGAAGGCTGCCCTGAAGAACGTTCTTCTGCGAGGGAGTCCGACAACAACGCAGGCAGCGGGGCGGGAGGTGGGAAGCGGAAGAACGCGCGTCTGCAGGCATTGGAGTCCATCGCTGATGTCATGGCCATGGCACACTGATGTCGTCGACGATCGAATCGTCTAGCAAGCGGCAATGCAGCATCTTCACGAGGCAATGCGACATATTGGAGCAGGAAGTTGCCGTCCAAAAAGCGCATTATGCGGCGTCCGATGAGACGCAGGATGATGTGCCACACGCTGTTGGAGATCGTTGCCGCCATCCGTGGTCGGTCGACCATGTAGGGCGTTAGGTGCTATGTTGATCAAAGTTGGTTCTTCGCCGTTGTAATTGACTGTTTTTTTTTTTTTTTTCGGTTGCGAATTTCATGATGTTGCCATTGCCGGTATTCGTGGACGGCTGCTGCGGAAGCGATGCCATGTAGTCGATGGAGAATTGGGGGCGGCGAGCGGGTGAGGTTCCGTGAAGAGTTGGTGGGAGAGGGTGGTCGGGACCTGCAGGGATGACGAGAGGGGGGAGGTGTCTTTGTGTGTTTGTGTGTGTGTGTGTGTGTGTGTGTGTGTGTGTGTGTGTATGTGTGTGTGTGTGTGTGTTTTGGGGTAGTCAACGTTTTCGACAACCACGCATCATCTGCGTTTTGGTTGGTCGACAAACACACAGCCACTGCCGAAAGGGGGTGTGTTGTATGGGG